AGTTCGTCGTTTCGTTGCGGTGTCCTCGGTGAGCGGCGGATGCACAACACAAATTTAATCACCACTGTAGGGTTAATCCGGAGGAGACTCTTCTTCGACCTTGAAGTTCCGATTTTTATAGTTTTTCCCCCACTGTTCGCCTTTCGGATTGGTCCCTCGTCCCTTTTCTCGCTTCCCGATTGGTTTCTCCTTTGTCTCCAGGTGCAAGACGAAACTTTTTCGGGTCGCGGGAAAGGTCCGATTCGAGGTGTCCATCTGATACCTCTTTGTCGACTCTGTTCGAGGACTGTTTATAAAATAATAACACCTGCACTCATAACTCAGGCCGTTATTTACCATTTTTGACGTCTAAGAATTTAACGATCATTTTCACCTTTCACCTATCAAAAATTCCTCTATTTTTTGTTCGAAAAGGTTTATTTCGGCCAACATTTTATAGACACGCGAGTCAAAGATCTACCTGTTTATGAGCGCTCGGGTTAGAGTTTGTCTTCCGCTAAGACATTAACAGATAGTTGACACATAGTCGAACCGTTCCGAGTCTCGTTGTTTACATCTCGTGTCGCGCAAGAATTTCACGGTTTACTCGAGTTCGAACCTCGTCTGGGAACCCACATTATCAATGATCATTCATCCTGATCTTTGCATGAGGCATGATGTTTTGTATGAACTTTTCTCATAAGTAAATGTAGAAATTTTTCGTGTATTAAATGCACATGCAAATATAACAAATAAAAAAACTGCATTACTTTAACGGTGGTTATTTTGAAATGAATGTTTATAGTTAAAAAATAAAAGAAATTAGGTAACATTTTACCTCAAGGTCTACTTCTTATCCTTTTGTATTAGTCAATAGAAGTAGTTCTTAATAGATATGATCTTTAATAAAAAATTATTTAAATTTTCAGTAAAATATGAGTGAAATAAGCATTAAAAATTCGATATTTGAGGAAGAAAAAGAAGCGTTTTCTTATGATGAAAATGCCTTAAAAGATTTCAAAAGGTTTATCAGTAAGTAAAGATTTTTAAAACTTTCGGGTAATAAAAACATAAATATATTAATATTAATGCAAAACTATGCATTCTGAAAGCAATTACTGTATTATAAACTAATACTTTTCTTTCTGATTTTAACAGGGGATCAAGGGATTAACTTTGATATGGATGATATTTTTCTCCTTGGTTTTCTTCGTGCTAGAAAATTTGACCTCAAAAGATCTCTTCAGTTACTCAAAAATTACTTCAACGTTAGAATAGAATATCCCCAATACTTTAAGAATCATCTCCCTTCCAAGTTGGGACGTGTTTTAGACATGAATATAGTGCGGTTTTTGCCAATACTCGATCAGGACGGAAGTTACATTTATCTTTATCAATTTCGTAAGTAGAAATCTTATTTATGCTTCCGAATTTAGAAAAGTAAAAAAATATAGAATAAAATAAATTTTTTTAACGATTCGTTGTAAAATTTGATAATTAATTAGCATTCTTCCTCAAACTACCATTGTTCAGTGATGTTATCCACTTTTCAAATAATTGGCAAAACGTCAAGCATTGTGCATTTAAAGTTTCGTAATGTATAATCACTATAATTCAAATACTGTAGTTGAATGCAAATTAATTTACTGTAAACCTTACGTAACATAATAGGATTTTACTTTTTTTTTTTTTTTTAGTTTCCTGGATCTACAATTGACAGATAATTGAGCAGTTAAATTTATAGTTTTGTCTCTGGTTTACTATGTTATACTATATAGAGAACGATAATTGTTTTAGTTTTTTATCTCGTTTCAGATAACGATTTCTGTTGTATTTGCTAATTTCGGAATATTATGGAAAAATAATTAATTCAATTTTTGATTAAAATTTCTTAAATTGTAGAAATTATTTTAAAGAATTTCAATCAGGCCTTGAAAATATCTTTGTGCAATTTCGTTTATAGGTAACTGGGATACTTCTATTGCGAGTGGTGTCGAGGTATTGCGTGCTATAATGCTCGTACTGGATTTTCAGTTAAATTTTCATAGAGCTCAAGAAAAGAAAATCGTATGTATTATTGACTCAGCGGGTTTAGCGTTGACACATTTCTACCATTATCCTCCTAGAGTGGTCCATTCAATGGTGACTTTTATACTTGTGAGTAATTTCTGATTAGCATAATGTGAATAGTAGAAATATATTTACTTATTGTGTAAATTGGGGATGAACATGTTAACTTTTATTTAATCTATGCTCTTCAGTTTCCATTTATGCTGAATGAATATTTTAAAAATCATTTTGCTGGATTATTTCTAACAATACATGGCTTTTCTAAATTGTTTAACACGTCTTAATAGTAATAAAATGATATAAAATCCTTGACAGAAGGACACGGTAACTCAGATTGTTGAAAATTGTTAATTTTTCAGATAGATCAGATAAAATTTTCACTTTCATAATCCAGAATCATTTATAGATTGTCTTTCACCTACTAATATCAACTACAAACTGGTCTACCGTATTTAATCTATACGATTATACAAAATTTAACAGTAATTTTTTTTATAAATTTGAATAAATGAGTTAATAAGCAAAATACTTTGGTAAAACGATAACATTAAACGAGAATACCGGGCTGCAATTTTTAATCATTTTTTTTTATTGTAATATATTTTTATAGAAAGATTCTTATCAGCTTCGATATAAAGAAGTACACTTCGTCAACCTGAATATCATCATAAAGGCAATTTTAAGCGTTATGTTTCCACTTTTATCATCTAAACTCCGGAAAAGAGTAAGTGATTACAACTTTCTTTTCAATTTATTCAAATTTCAATAAATTTCTGAAATTAACATTTTAATTACAGTTTCATATTCATTCTGACATGGAATCTCTACACAAATTCGTCAACCCAGACTGCTTGCCTTCAGAATTTGGAGGAAATTTACCTGATTTCGATCCCACTGAAGCCACTAATATGCTTAAATCTAACGAAGAATTATTTCAAAGACGCGAAGAATATGTGAAATTGTACGAAGAACAAAGAAATAAGAATTTTACTGAGGGCACATTTAGATACATTCGCGAAGATGTAGAAGACGAAAAAATAAAGAAATTTATGGAAAAATCAGAAGAAAAATTCCAACGTCATGCTGACAATCCAGAAGCTTTCATAGCTGCTTTGAAAGAAGATTCTGAATTCGAATTTACTCATTTTTAAGTACTTGAGATGAAGTCAATTTTTAAAATAAAAAAGACAAATTATAGTTAATACTTATTTCATGTATACCAACGTTTCGAAATAAAATTTTCCATTAAAATTTATATTTTATTAAGTAAACTATGATAATTTTGTAAACACTAAAGATCTTTCTATTGTACCTTTACTTAACATAAAAAATAAAATATGTCTTCCATTTCATGAAAATATTTCATAAAGCAGTTGGTATAATCTTTCAAGTTAATTATGAAAACTCTCTAAATCTTATAAATCTCTCAAGTTAATAAGTTACGTTCGCTTATAATTAAGATTGTTTGTAGCGCTATGTGTCTTAATTATTTTAATGGGAAAAAGGCTTAATTTTGATCATAGATATGATATTTTATAAATACTGTAAATGATAATAACGAGGAAAATTTTTATTATTATTTGTTTAAAGTTACAAATGTATTTATTTTTTAAAACTCTTTCTGTTTAATTAAAATGTTAAAACAAACATAGGGGAGACCGGGGCAACTTCGGCATGCGGGGCAAGTTTGTCAAGCGCTTTTTTTTTAAAAACAAATTAAAAGGAGACTTTGGTTATAGGTTAGGCAGTTGAGTTTTATTGGTGGCTTGTTGAGTGTAGTGTTTTTATTGTTCTCCAACAAGCGTAGTTGAATTATCAAGCAAATTTTCATTTTCGTTCAATTCCATATAATATTTTTTTTCCATTTATATTGAATTGGCAGGTTTTGTTATAATTCCATGATAACGAAAGTTACTTTTCCTGTTAGAAGGATGTAACTTCAACTTATTCACGTGGCCAGATCGTGGCTTGGCATTCTGTTCTCAGGGTTGTACTTAATGTTTCGAAATCATGACTAGCGGGGTAAGATCGGCAACATAAAGCCACATTAGAAGCAAAGGATAAAAATCAAACAGATGATAAATGAAAACATGTTTGCATTTGTTATTCATGTATATATGTCTTTGAACTTGCATTTCGTTGTAATAATATTAAATGGGTGTTGGATTTGTATTTCTTTGTTTTAATAGTGAATTCCAACTTATACATTGTTAATAACATAATTTTATATACGTGCCTATCTTGCCCCATTACTGTTGCCCCTATACCAGGGGCAACTTTAATAAAAATAATTAAAATAATTACAACTTTACAAAAAGAGAGAAGTTGCCGATCTTGCCCCTATACCCGGGGCAACTTCGTCAATTTCTCTCTTCTTGTAAAGTTGTAATTATTTTAATTATTTTTATTTCCAAACTGATTTTAACCAGTTCTATAGTAAGGTAACATTCCAATAGACAATATGCAAAGTTTTTTTTCAGTTTACAGCAGTATTTATTACACAAAATTTAAGTAAAGCTTAACATGCCGATCTTGCCCCGGTCTCCCCTACATTTAAACAGGGAAAACCGAACAGAGGCCATTAGAAACTACAGAACCAATTTTTTCGACCAGATCTCCCCAACCTGTGAGTCGCGATGCTCTAAAGCTGTTTTTTTCTGCAGATAAAATACGTTGCAAAGGTTCTGTTTTGTATGTATATATATATATATATACATAACAGAAGAATAGTATGGCAATCAGTCAAAAAACGACCCTCAAGATTTTTACATTTTTGGACTCAAGGCACCTTAAAAGTCAAAAAATGCAATAAAAATCGAGGGTATTTCTCAGTATGTATTTGTGTGTGTGGGGTTCTTTGAAACTTAATAACTCCTGCCTTTTTTGTCGAAAATTTTTGAAATTTTCTAGAGAGATTTGTTTAATAGGACGATTAATAGAGATGAATTTTGGTGGTTAAAGGACGAGAGGACGGAGAGATAAAGAGGGTCGTGTGTATTTCCAGTTCTGACTTAATGATGATTTTACTTGTTATTACATTTACACTTTTTTACAAAACCCTTCACTACTCTAAAAATTAAGATTTTTGCCATGTTATAATAATTAAAATATTAAAATACTAGCAGATAGGCCCGGCGTTGCTTGGGCAAAAGGTAACGATAGTGATAATTAAGATTATTACGTTATAGTCAATCTTACCCCGTTTTCATAGAATGCAAGAATTAAACCCCCCGTTTTCAGACTAATTAGAGAATTTTTAGATGGGTTAAAACGCAAGCAAAAACGCAAAAAACAGCGTCTGCGCCTGTAAATCTTACACGTCGCTTTCTCTTAACACTTCCATTGTTAAAAATTCCATTGTTGACACTTCTATTCTTAACACTTCAGTTGTTTATATTTCCATTGTTACTTAGCACTTTCATTGTTGATACTTCCATTGTTACTTAACACTTCCATTGATACTTCCATTGTTACTTAACACTTCCATTGTTGATATTTCCATTGTTACTTAACACTCCCATTGTTGATATTTCCATTGTTACTTAACACTTACATTGTTGATGGAAGTGTTAAGCTTTAATCATGACTTTCTCTTCCCCGGAGAAAATTTCGAAAAATCATTTCTTAGTGTGCGTTCTCGTGACGTACCCTAACTGTGTACCAAATTTAAACTTTCAGCTCCTAACCGTTTGGGCTCTGCGCTTATTATTATTGTTATTATTATCAAGCCATCTCGATTATATATATGGATTTATAGTGTTAGCTTTTGTTATGCAATTGTTATGTTAACTGTTTACGTTCGATTCAAAACGTAAATAAAACAGGGAAATGTTCATAATGTTGTTTCCACCTCTAAAGGATATCTAAACAATATTTACGACCCAAAAATCTTAAAGAAATACGCATATATTTTCTTATTTATATACTAACAATGTGCATACAAAAGACAAAAACAAATATACTGCAATTGTTAAGTAGCCTTATTTTACCTTGAAAGGCAAAGAAAAAAAAAAAGTCGTATAGCTGGACTATAACAATTTCTTATTGTAATTTAATTATATACCTAAGTTGTGGCATTAATTATTCATTATTATGATGTAAGAAAGACGGATTTTCAAACTTTTTCGATTGTTTTCAAACTTATTATATGATAAAAGACCTTGACACAAATAAATTAAAGTTTTTGTGTCAAATTTTCACGATTTCTATGCCACTACTCCCACTATTAAATTAATACAAAGTATTGTAACTCTTTTTGATCGGTAAGATTTGCAGGATTAAAAACAAGAAGGAAAGTGATTAAAAATCATGTTAAACAAACGAGTTCATGCATAAATTCAATCAAGGCAACAATAAGACTTGTAGGAAAGATGGCCACCGAATAAGACTGAAGTTACTATCAAAAGGGTACCATATGCTTTTGTGTTCCGCTAGTTTTTTGTCTTTTATTTTAGAAATTCGTAAAATTGGGTGTCTTGTAACCAACGGTCGACACATGCATCTTCGAAACAGTTGTTGTTGTAACAAACAAATTGAAATAAAAAACAAAATGTTTTTTTAGATTAGATTAGATTATTTCTTGTTTTATTATTTGCATAATTTACAGTGAAAATAGCTAGAAGCATTTGATAACGATACGACGACGTCATAATAAACTATTGAATATTATTGGAGAATATTTTCATATAAAACAAGTTAATTCTGATTACGACATTAATCTTCTGTACGTTTTCAAATGAGAAAAGGTAAGCAGACAAATTAATCTGTATTTCTTTCAACGTGTTTAATATAAAAACTGCATCATAGATACCCGGGCATCGGCAGAAAATTTTCTAGGGGCAAAGCTTAGAAACAATTTTATCAATACATTTTTATTCTTTAATTTTGGGATTTCTCTAAGTCAGACAAAGCGTTCCATGGTCATGGATGTAAGTGTGAGATAAGCGGGGGCCACCGGGTAATTTCCTAATGACTACTTAATCTGCAGGGGCTGGTAAAGCCCGATCTCTGTGCCTTTTGGATGGCGTTAGGAGGGCAAAATCGAGTGGGGAGGTCGTTGGTAAGTCGATGGACTAATAGACAGAAGACAGGTTTAATATATAACAAAATAAAGGTATATTATTTGACTAACTATAACAAACATGAGGCTACACAGAGTTAGAGGAATATACAGGTTATATGGCTAAATTTCGCTAAATGCGGTTAGGATGCGATTACCCAGTCTAGTATTTTACAAAGGGCTAATCTACCTGCTACGCCTATTTTCCAGAGAGAGAGAGAGAGAGAGAGAGTCCCCTAATAATTACCTCTAATATTGGAGAAGAGCTATATGCGGCGATAACAGTTCTATATGGAAGTGTCGCAACCATCGAGTGTCTTCCAACCGGTGGCATCTCCTTCTGTTGGATCAAGTCCGTTGTATGGAGGTCCGGGAGACGGAATGGGCACAGTTACCAAATAAAACTTCCAGTTCGGACGCCTCGAGCTTCCGGTAGCTCTCACTTTTATACGATTGTCGTGGGAAATGAGTCACACATATATATATATATATATGTAACTNCGAGATATGTTCTTATATTAACGCAGTACAGCATATAAAATATTACTTTAAAATATATTTAAAAAGATAAATTATAATTTCACTTTTATTCAAGCTTAAATATCTGCTGTAAATATAATATTTAGTCACAAATAAGTGCTTTCATTTACAAATAATATTGAAAATTCATTCAGAAATATAATTTATATAAATGTTTTTTTAGTCGGATAGGTGATTACTTACACTACAATTTACAATTGGAAGTTTTGCAAATGTTATTTTACTTTTAATACATTTATATAATTATTATTTACAAAGATTTAATTAATACCAATTAGCATATAATTGCTTATACTTCATTTACATTTTAAATTATATATTTAAAGATAGAAATACAATTTTTTACTTCAAGGATTTATACTTCTTCGCTCTTCATTAGGAATTGGATTCAATAGAAATTAAATATAATTAAAACCGTGTGTTCTAAGTAGTAACAATTCTTTTAAACTTTCAGTAAAATATGAGTGAAATAAGCATAGAAAATTCAATATTTAAGGAAGAGAAAGAAGAATTCTCTTGGGATGAAAACGCGTTAAAAGATTTCAAAAAGGTTATCAGTAAGTACAGATGTTTACTACTTATTAAATATAATGTATCATTTTATCAACCTGCTTGTTGCATTGAAAAGTAGCTAAGTTGATAATCACGACTTTAAAGCTGTCTGTATGATTCTACGTGATACTTCCTCTTGCGATTACGATAGGAAGTGCAGCAACACAGAACGACTGTCAGAGAGGAAGTGCAGTAAGATTTTCACTTCCTGTCAACACAGTAGCAATATTTACAGTTGAATAACAGATTTTTTTTTACTGTAGTGGTTATTTATAAAACAAACGATAACATTTTAAACTAACAATTATAAAATCTAGTAGAGAAAGAGGTTATTAATTTAATACCATTAACACATTCATTAACAAATTAAATAATTTTAATATTAATTGTTGTAAAGCTGTTTTGTACTTAACATAATAAATAACGTATCATTTAAATTAAGTTTTAAACATTTTATTAAATTTTACTTCGTAATTAACAAATATTATAAACTAATGATGATATTTTCTTTCTGATTTCAACAGGAGATCAAGGATTTAAATTTCAAATGGATGATATTTTTCTTCTTGGTTTTCTTCGTGCTAGAAAGTATGATATTGAAAGATCTCTTCAGTTACTTAAAAATTACTTCAAAGTTAGAATAGAATATCCCCAATACTTTAAGAATCTTCTTCCTTCCAAGTTGAGTCATGTTTTAGACATGAATATGATGCAGTTTTTACCAAAACTCGATCAGAATGGAAGTTACATTTATGTTTACAAATTTCGTAAGTAGAAATTTTCTTTATTTTTTCACAACTTCGGAAGAAAAATTTACGAAAAATTTTAGTAACGATTCGGTTTGAATTTTGGTTATTAATAAAAATTCCATGCAATTCCAGTACATACGTTTACATTTTTACTTTTTTTGGTATCAGGAGCACTTGAAATAGAACCGAAATTCGATTCCCTCTTGCATATTTATGTTTTACGAAATGTAAATTATATTATAAATATTTTGTAAAAGTATAAAGTAAAATTTTACTATTCTTATTAAATTTAAAGATTTAGTAGTTCTTAAGTCCAAAAATTTTAAAACTATCAGGGTGATATTTTGACTGATCTCCATACTTTTCCTCTGTTATATACAAGACCGGGAAACTAAATAAGGCAGATTATTTAAATAAATTTCGATAACTGAATGTACAATTTCATTTACAGGTAATTGGGATACGTCTGTTGCAAGTGGTATTGAGATGTTGCGTGAAATAATGCTTGTAATGGATTTTCAGTTAAATTTTCACAGAACTCAAGAAAGAAAAATTGTTTGTATTATTGATTCAGCGGGTTTATCCTTGACTCATTTCTATCATTTTACACCTAGAATCATCAGTTCACTGGTGACTTTTATCCTTGTAAGTAATTTATAATTAACATAAATAAATTTATTTCTACACATTTACTTAATTATATAATTAGATTAGATGTTACCCGCGGCTTTGCCCGCGAGAATTTTGTAAGCAAACCCCATTTATATTCAGTATTTCAACAACCATAGTAATTGTTATATAACACCTACCGCTGAGAATGATAAAAATTGCCGAGAATCAAACGAACTATCTTCAATTTGATTAATTTTCTGGAACGTTTACAATCGTTCTATATCGAACGAATATGCAATAATAACTTCGAATTTAAAACGGTTCGAACATTTTTAATATGGAAATATATAAAAATATTTATAACAATATCTGAAATGTTGTTAATTTAATACACCTAAGTACTCGATGAAGACTATATCCTCTCCCTCTCCCCCGAGGAAGAATTTCGAAAATTCCCTTCTTAGTGTGCATTCTTATGGCATACCATATTTACAATGCAGATAAAAACAAAAAATCGCATCTAAAATAGTACAGTAGAAGCCGTTTTTCCGGTTAAATTTTAATGCTCTCCCTCTCTCTCCACTTGGGAATTTCGAAAAATCCCTTCTTAGTGAACGTTTTCATGACGTACCCTAACTGTGTACCAAATTTCACCTCTTTAGGTCCAGCGGTTTGCTCTGGGCGATGATGAATCAGTATGAGGCTCTGGACAGGTCCGAACCCTCACTAAAATTCGCGTTAAAATAATTGTTTTAGAGAAAAGAATATAGTAGTTAGAAATAGATTTTTATTTTATGAAAACGCGACGCTAACTTTTAAACAATAGAAGAATGTAAGTCCGTCGACCATTTTCGGTTGGAGATCGAATTAAACTTCGATTTTGACCTCTCCCGCGCCCCCGAAAGGTTTCGAATTGCCATCAGGTGACGAGGACAGACCAATCGGAAAGGGGAATCTGAGAGAAAACGGATAAAACCCCGGAAATTCAAGGACGCGACGGCTTCTTCTCTCGAAAGTTTCAAGTGACGGATCTGTTGTTGTGTGTGTGTCTCGCACCCATCTTCGTCTCCATCTCCCGACCTCCGATCGACATCTTTCCATTAACGGAAGTCGACCGCATCGTCCCGGAGTCGTCGAGACGTGATGGAATGGTTCATTCGCGAACAAGGGACACTTCTTCAAAATGGGACTACCTTGGAAAGGAGAGGAAGACCCAGAGGCAGCAACCGCCGCAGAACTTCCAAGATGGCGGAAATCTTGTAAGCTTCTTTCGTGTTTAATAAACGGTTGTGTTGTTTGTAAACGAAGCATCTATCTCTGACTCAACTGCTTCCGCATGTCGTTGATTGTTACCGCTCGGCAGTCCAGACGGCAAGGGAGACGATGACGATATATATCATATATTATCGTTCATCGAGAATTTTTTAATTTCTCCCCCCCTCGGCCCCCACATCAGTGAGTCATTCAGTCAGTCAGTCAGGAAAAGCAATTTTATATCTATAGATAAATAATGACACACGTTAACTCAATTGTCATGCTCCTGAGGAATCATCAAACGTTAGCAATTTGCTTTATATTTTAAAATAGATTATAGATGAAAGGCCGGTATAAAATGTTTTTAAAATGTTATCCAAACTATTATTGTTTGGATAAAATTTCTTGTTAAATTTATAAATTAGCTGTTAATATGCCTTAAAACAAAATTTTTCATAACGACCACAAATGACTTTAGTGTGACAGTTTTATCATTTTTATTTTATATGTATTTACTCCAAAAGCCAAAAACAAAGCAATCCACGACAATTGCTTCCTTCTTGGATTGCTTGTCTGTATCGGCGATGCAATAATCGTCTGTTCATGCTCAACTGTAATGAATTTGGATTAACATATGACTAGCCAATTAGAATTAACCGTAATATATAATGAAAATTTCCCGAACATAATCATATGTATGTTGCAGCTGTGTGTCGTATTTATTACATTTATGTCCACAAAGCCATTAAAAAATAATTTACGTAATTTAGTAAAATAATAAATTTCTATGGCAATAATTAGTAAAGAAAATTGAAATCGTTAATTATTTTTTAAATATCTCTTATATAGAAAAATTCCTATTCGATTCGATATAAAGCAATACATCATGTCAACCTCAATATCATCATAAAGGCAATTTTAAGCGTTATGCTCCCACTTTTATCATCTAAACTCCAGAAGAGAGTAAGTTATTTCAAATTTCTTATTAGTTTATGTAATAATATATTATTGCCAAATTTTACTTTATTTTTTCTCGTAATATATATCAACAAATACACATTAAATATACTTTTTACATAGATATGCCAATAGTACCAATTCAGATATTATTCATCATCTCACAATGTTATCTGAATAAGAAATTAACCCCTTACTTATAATATTTATATGCCAATTAGTTTTATAGATATGAAATCTGAATCAATTTCTACAACTATGATTTTAATAACAGATTCATCTTCATTCTGATATGGAATCTCTATGCAAATTCATCAGCCCAGACTGTTTGCCTTCGGATTATGGAGGAAATTTACCAAATGTCGATCCAACTGAAGCAAATAATATGATTAAAGCTAACGAAGAGTTGTTTATAAGAAACGAAGAATACGTAAAATTGTACGAAGAACAACTAAATAAAAATTTTACTGAGGGTACATTCAGATACATTGGCGAGGATGCAGAAGAGGAAAAGATGAAAAGATTTATAGAAAAATCAGAAGAAAAATTTAAATGTCATTCTGACAATCCAGAAGCTTTCATAGCTGCTTTGAAAGAAGATTCTGAATTTGAAATTACTCATTTTTAAATACATTTCATGTACAAAATATCTAACTTTTATACCTGTTAGGGGTTAGTTATATTGAATATGTTAATTTTGTAAAGAATTTGTAGACAGCCTGTATTTTCTTACACAGCAGTACTTCGAGTTTTAAAGGAAAAACCAGTTTTACAGACGTTTCGAGTTTGTTAATAGAATCAATAATTCCTTTTGTTAACAAGTTTTTTCTTTGTAAAATGTATTATTTCCAATAATTTGATTGTACTTTTTATTATTTCGTTATTTTTATCTGATACTCAATAGTTAAAAGAAGTAAATATGTTTTTAGTTATAATCATTTCCTGCTAATGTTATGGAAAAACATATTATTCTGTCATGTTTCAAAGACATTTATTCGTATGTTGTAATAACAGTATTAAAATTTATAATTTATTCGCTGTTGGTTAGCAGAATTTATTATATAAAATTCTCTAGTAACGAGGGAAATCTTTCAGGTGATTGTGGAGATGGAGCTTGGAACTGTTTTTACGTAAATTAGAGTGTGTGAGAAGTATCTAACTTTGCAATTATCAGTTAACCTCTAAGATAGGTAAAAAGTAAAAAAAAATATTGTGATAATGAAGACTATTTTTGTACTAATCTGTTCTATCTTCCGAATAAATAACCGTTAGGTAATAAAGAATTACGAATAAATAAACTTAAGTATATAACAAATAAGCTAATTATTCAATATTATAACACGTGCTTTCGGAAAATCTACATTATTATGTAACCTTTTACATTAACTTTATACATCCCACCCTAAAATATCAATTAATTTTTATTTACATTCAAATTTAGAGTTATATGTAGCACAATCTATTGGCAAAAAGTTAACAAAATAATTAACTAAATACAATTCGTACAAAAAAGTAAATAATCATTAAAAGTATATATTATATTTACTGAATTACTGGGACAATTATGTAGCGCGTAATAGATGCGCCATAACTGCGACACGTAGCACATAGCACTTAACTGCGTGGAATGTAGTAGTGCGTTGCCCCTGTACATCGTACTTTTCCTGTTAGCATGACAGTCGTGCAGGTTGTGTATCTAACTCCGTTCGAGGGGAAACTTTTGTATTGATATAACGAGACTCGCGCTACAAATCGGAGTTCATATACACGTAATATGTTCCCTTTCTCTTGCAATTTCTACCTCTTTTCTTCATTTTCATCTATATAACTCCTTTATCGATATTAAGGATGGGCAAAAAGATAGGTGACGACACTGCAAATTTATTGATCTACAATGTTTCAAATTGAAGTTTGAAGAAGTTGATTCGACCAAAGGAGCAATCGAATTTGGTCCTTTGGTTGCTCCTTTGGTCGAATTAACTTCGACTCCTTTTGCAATAGCTCCTTCTTTCTATCAGATCAAGCGGTATGGTGGCATTCAAATAGGAAAATTACATTATATAAGATACTAGCTTGCACAAAATATGATTTAATTTTGATTAATATAACTATGCAAATTATAAGAGCTAACCAGCTGTTTGACGCTTTTTCAACAAAATTCACAGCTTGGTCGCGGGGATGCCTGCCATGGAGTGTCTTCTAAACCAGCGCTGTCCAACTGGCGGCCCGCGGGCCGTATACGGCCCGCCAAATAATTTTTATGGCCCTCGAGTACATTTTACTATGAATAAATTTGTTACTAAATTATTATTATTAATATTAAAATTATTTTACTACCGTGTTTCCCCGAAAATAAGAGTGTCTTATGTTAATTTTTGCTCTGAAAAATGCGCTAGATCTTATTTTCAGGGAATGTCTTATTTTTTCCAGGAAGAAGAATTCACATTTATTATTGAACAAAAAAATTCCCAAGTCGAACTTAGACGAGAGTGATGTATATCCGGTGTGTCGAACTGTCGCCTTTTTATAGCATCAACATCGGACTCACTGACCAATTAGTGCTTACTGAACCGTAGCACTATGCAAATGTCGTGTGGTTTATCAACCTTCTTGGCCCCCGAAATGTTTGATAAAGAAAATGTGGCCCGCGGACTATGATAAGTTGGACAGCGCTGTTCTAAACCTACGATTGCTTAATGGTGTCTATGCTCTTTATATGTTCTGTCGTGTCCATATGTTGTGAATGTAAGTTTAACGGTGTCTTATTTGAGTCTGCTAGAGTTACTGCTTTATGTAACTGTGATGTTTCTTGCTTTTTGTAGAAAAACGCTCGCAGTGTTTGTATTTGTTTGTAGTGAAGGTTTACTGTGTCAATCAGGCCACACCTGCCATCATTACGTGGAAGGGTTAATTTTTCTATGGCGGATTTAGGATGATGTTGTTTATGCTTGGTAAGTATTGTTCTTGGTTTCCTTTGGCGTTGCTCGAGATCTGTGTGAGTCCAAAGTATAATTCCAAAAAATAAATGAGTTCTGGGACGACATATGTGTTTATTGTTTTAACTGTGTGTTTTGCATTTAATTAACTGTGTTCTGAGAATTGGCGTTTAACCTAATTTGATATTCTTTAATTAATCTTTGCGTTATTTGTGTACGTTCTGCTAGTTTGGCCTGTTGTATTCCTAAACATATGTAGAACGCCCTCTTCTATGAATTCAATAACATCACCAATTCAAGTGCAAAATTTTCTTTCATCGAGACTTCCTTTTCTGTGTAAAGTGTTTTGCATTTGTCTAAACCAAACTCCATTTGTATATTCTTTGTGTATGAATTTGTGATTTGTAGGAGTTGATAAAGTTGTTTTTTCACGTCTGATATTGTAACCATATTAATTGTTGTTAACATGTTACTTTATTATTATCTGCAGTTTTTCATATTAGAATAATTGAGATGGATTGATGATAATATAATTATTATTATTATTATTATCAATCCATCTCATTTATATACATATATACGTCTGGAATGCGAATAAAGTTATAATCCAGTTTTGTAAGTGGTCTAATTATATGATTCAATCTAAACGAAAAATAATGTCTTCTGGAATACGTATTGATTTACAAATTTATCAATGTATATAAAACAAGATGCTAAGAACAATTCAGGTATTGCTTTTGTCGTAAGTAATTAGTAAAATCAATGTTATTATTTAAAATGTTAAATACATCTCATGTAAATTTTAAAAACTGTCTTAATTGTGTGCAATTATCTCTGAAATGTCATCCAGATGTTTCATTTGTAGTCACGAGGTCAGATATATTATAACTAGAATACATAATTTAATATACATATGAGTAGTTCGAATTTGTTTTTTATCGTTTAAAATAAAATAAATACCAAATTATTTTTTTAAAATACAATTACGTAAAGGTATATAAATTAATTAAGATAATTAGCAAGTCTAAAAAACTATTAAAAAATGAATTATAGAAACATTAATACGACAATATTGTAGCTTGGAATATTCTCCAGGAGTGAAACCCTTTCTATAGATCATAAAACTCCATACGAGAGATTTGCACTTAAAATATTTATAGAGTTACCTTTTGTTATGCAAGTTGATTCAAGAGGTAAATAAAACATCGAAATGTTCATAATGTTGTTCACACTTCTAAGTGATGTCTAACCAATATTTATGACAAAAAATCTTAAAGAAATACACATATATTTTTATTTATTTATATATTAACAATGTGTATATAAAGCACAAAAATAAATATAATGCAATTGTTACGCTGCTTTATTTTACCTTGAAAGGCGAAGAAAAAAAAGTTGTACAGCTGGACTAGAACAATATTTTATTCTAATATGAAAAACTGTCGCATTCATTATCTATACTAATATTATAAAGAGGTAATGTTTGTATGTATGTAAGTTTGGATGTAGCGGGTAATCTCCGAAACTACTCATCCGATTTCAAAAATTTTTTCACTAATATTTAGAATGGAACTTCAGGGTGGACATAGGCTGTATATTATTCCGTTAAACATGGGGGATGGCCAGTTCTTTACGGTAAGCCTTACCGTAAAGAACTCTGCTTCTATTTATACTATTTTAGATGCGATTTTTTGCGTTTTTGATTGCGTTTTAATAGAGTACGTCAACAGAATGTACACTAAGAAGGGATTTTTCGATATTCCCCCCCGCGAGGGAGAGGGACAGGATTAAGGCTTACTGTGAAGAACTTGGCTTCTATTATACTATTTTAGATGCAAGTTTTTGCGTTTTTGATTGCGTTTTAATAGGGTACGTCAACAGAATGTACACTAATTTTTTCGAAATTTTTCGAAAAATTCCCCCCCCACGAGGGAAGTGTTATAACACATTTATAATAGATACATTTTGAGCCACAACAAGGAGTGGCGGGGTCTGCTAGTTATGATATAAAAAAAAAAGCTGGTTTTCCAAACTTCCTTTATTGTTTTCAGTGGAGAAGATGATATTATATGATAAAAGATTTTAATAAAAATAAACTAATGTATTTGTGTCAAACTTAAGATTTCACGATTTCTACGCCAATAATCTTACTATTAAAAGCAAATTTTATATTACTAATTATTTTAAAATCGACCCCTAAACACATACATTAACGTTTATGAATACGAAAAAAAACCCCATAAAATTTTTGCAAGAAGTTTGTTGCTACAAGAAGTATAACAGACAGGAAAATAATGTATATTTGCGTACTTAATATCATTATTATACAATTAAATGTTTTCTATTACAGCTGGTTTTTAAATATATTTTATTATCGAATTTTTAATGAAGAAATTTATAATCGCTTTTATCAATGATTACAAAATTGGTAACTTATTGTACAAATTTCTTTGTTTAAAGGTATAATTAGAATACGAAAAAATTAGGCATGACCAGGTTGAATTTCGTCTAATCTGGGTCAAGAACGTAAAGAAAAAATGGAAATTTTATTGTATACGTTTTAAGTATTTAAATTTAAGCATTTCTAGTATATTTAGGAAGTTTCATTTAATTGGATCTTATTTAGAGAAAATATATATTTTCTATAATTATATATAAATTAATAATACTAAAAACTATACAATTATGTGACTAAAATTAATAAATATATTGCTTTAATCTATTATATTTTTTATTTCTATCGACAGTTTTATATTTAGTAATTCAACACCACGCTTCTATTGTTTTTTATTTTTTATTATTTTCATAATTTACAATGAAAATAGCTAAAGGCATTTGGTAACTTCACGACGACGTATTTAAAAACTATTGGACAATATTTTCAGAAATAAAGATAAATTCTGTTTAAGACATTAATTTTCTGTACACTTTCATGTGACGAATGGTAAGTAAGCAATTTGATTATATTACTTTCGGCTATAAGTTGTAAATATGTACAATTCATTAACGTGTCAGGATATTTGCAAGCTTTTAACATTTCTCCTTTTCTCTTCCTTACAACCATGATCTGTTTATGATACGGTTGCAATTATCCCCTGTAAACACTTAAGGACAAGTTATCAAGTTGTAAATCGCGCTGTGAATGCTAACTGCACATGTAATTCGTCAACAGTCGAAATTGTTATTGTCGGAAAAAGTTTTGTTGTCGGAAATTTTTTTTCGGGAAAAACCCTTGTTAAAAGAGAGAGTGTGTGTATTCCAATGTTAAAATTATTCTCACATGTATAATTTTAAAGAAAGCGGAGAATGATGTGAGGCGCGGATTTTTTCGGATTTGTACGGGCCGCTTAAACATCTAAATTTTCTGTTAATTAACTTCGGGAAAAAACCGAGGAATTTAAACTATATCGAATTTCATTGTAACAACGAACTGAGGAAGTTTACAGATAAGTGTGAAGAATGCATCTTCATCGTCAACAAGAGTCGATGACGTGTCAGCTCTCGCACGAAAAGATATAAAAGGGGAGATTACCGGAAGCTCAGGGCGTGTCCGAATACTTAGTACTTGTGTTCGTCGATCTCCATGCCAAGGACTGTGATCCCATCGGAGAAGACATAGAAGACACCACACCATACCATACAGACGACGTTCGCCAACTCTCCCTTCCACCTACAGGTATTTAGGGGTAGATTTTATAAAAGCGCTCTCTCTCTGAACTAGAAACTAGGACAGCGACATAGCTGAGAACGTAGTCGCCAATTTCTGTAAATACTTTAATATAATTGCATTTAGCTTTAGTATTGTTGTAACTTAGTTGTGTTAATTAATAAATGTTTGTTATTCTGTTGTCCTGTCTCCTGTCTAAATGGCACCTGCCAACTTACGAACGCACTCCCCACTCACTTTTCGCCCTCCTAGCCATCTGACGACGCCGAGATCGAGCTTGACGAGCCCATGCAG